GGACCCCCCCCGGGCACACTCGGACAAGCACTGCGTACCCGTCGATCGTTGAAAGTACAGGCGAGGCTGATTCGTAGGTCGACCCCGACCTACTTCTAGCCTTGGTCACCAGAACCAATTTCGAGCACCAGGGAAGTGCCGAAGTTGGAGGGTTTCCACGTTTCGCGTCCTGGGAGGCGATTGTCGTTCGACACTTCGCCAGGGTGTCGGACGGACACTGCTTCGAGGTTCTTCGGGGTGCTCGAAATTGCTTCTGGGCTGTGGTCCTTTTAAGCACGATGGGAACAGCATGATCAGGAGAGGAAAAAGCACAGTGACACAATTAATCTTCGATGCCCCAGAAAATATGGGAAAATATGGGAAGTGGGGGGGAAGACAAAAACCCAGAAAATGTAGGAAAATATGGGGGATAGTTTTATTTGTGTGTATTTGTTTGTGTGTCCTGGGGCCCCTTCACATGAGACCAACACTGCAGAAACATAGCCGCTCGGCAGTCCGCGCGGAATCGATGGCTCGTCGCTGGGCCCCCTCCCTGGCGCTCGTCGAGGCCTTCCCCCCCCCGCCCCCTGGGCACACCGGGGCACGCGCTGCGTGCCCGCCGGTCGTTGAACGCAGGCATTTCTGGGCTGCTAGATTTATGTTGGGCGTGTCCCCCTACAGGGGGATCTTCGATGAAAAACAAAAAAATACACCAAACATGCCCCAAAAATATCAAAAACAAATTCCAAAAATAGTCCCCCGACTATGTTTGTATCATGTTTTGACTAGTTTGGGGGTATCTTTTATGTTTCGTCGAAAATCCCCCTGTAGGGGGACAGGCCCGACTTTATGCTTGATCCCAGTCCACTTCGGGTGCCTTTCTGCTTCGATCGTCGCGTGCCGTTTCCTCTCCCCTCCGCTTCAGCGGGGGGGCGGCGGGCGGAGGCCCCGTCTGCTGCCGGCGCCTCCCCGCTTCGTGCCTGTGCCCACCTTTTGCAAAGCACAACCCCCGCGGCGGTCCGCGCGGACTTCTCGCATCGGCGCGGGACCCCCTCCCCAGCGCTCGTCGGGGACGTCGCGCCCCTGGGCTGTGCAGGAGAGAGAAAACACACAGACACAACGAATCGTCGATCCCCAGGAAAATATGGGAAAATATGGGAAGTGGGTGGGGAGACAGACACCCAGAAAATATTGGAAACTATGGGGAATCTTTTTATGTGTGTGTATTTATGTGTGTGTCCCAGGACCCCTTCAGTTGTCTGGGATGGCCACAGGGAGGGGTGGTCGCTCACCCCGCGCAGCGGCGTCGCCCCACCTCATTCTGTCGATTTGCAGCTGCTGGGCGCTCCTCTTTGTCTGCAGGGCGAGCGGGCGGGGTCATCACTCACCCTGGCCATCGTTTCCATCCTCGCAGTTGCCGGAGATCACTCGCTCCTGGCCACTCCCAGAGGGCTAGTGCGAGGGCTGATCACCCACCCCGCCCGTCACAGTACAGTCGGGGCCCTGAAGAAGGAACCCTTTTCGTTGGGGAGGGGCTCCGTGTTCCTTGATTGCTTCACAGTTTGCCTTGGGTTTTGCTTTGGTTTTCGATGGGAAATCGAAGTCCAACTTGTGGATCTAAGGGGCCTCGTTCCTTATTTAGGGTTCCTTGGGTCAACGCTCCGACTGTACTACCCCCCTCCCCGAAGCGATCGACGATGTTCACCTCCAGGTCACCACCGTCGAGGGCCACGGGGAGTGCCTGTCACTCACCCAGGCCTCCTGACTTCTGCCCGTACAGTGTCGTTTTAATACATGTTCCGCGTGCGGATCATGTATTACAAACATTCAGAGATTTAGTACTAAAAACAATGATGAGTTCATGCATAAATCTATTCATACATTAACCATGTATTGACAATCTTATGTTTTTTTTTTATTCCCATGTATTAAAACCTGCCCTGTACCTCCTGCTTCGAGCCTGGACAACGACTGATGGGCCCTGGGCCACTGGCGAACCTAGCAACTTGCTTTCATTGATTCCGCTCTTCGCTCTCCTCATCAAGGGCGCCCTCGAGGGCGCGAAACGATTCGCGCGTCGCGGTTCGGCCCCGATTCCTCCTCCTCCTCCTCCTCCTCCTCTTCTCTGGGAGGCGGCGCCAGAGCGCGACGTCATTCGCGTTCCGCGCAGCGCGAAGCGCGAAGCTTGGAGCCCTTAGTTCCATTCTTCACCCTCCTCGTCCTGTCCCACTCCTGCTTACGAATGATTACGACCCTCTGGCCGCTTTGCCTTCCAAGGGTAGCAAGCCCGCCCCGGCACCTGCGACGCGCAGCAGAAAGGAAGTGCCGCTTGGGAAAATTGGCGCAGCCTATCTCCAGCGTGAGGTTTCCCCCCTACACATTCAGTCATGTACGATCCGTCTTGTGCGCATCATGACCACACTCCGCTCGGATTCGTAGGAATCCTCAGGCTCTGGGCGAGCTGTGTGGCCTTGTCAGTCAGACCTCGGCACAGTCGTATTCGAAGTTCCTGCAGGAATCGATGGAATGAAATTCGCCGGGTCACGCTCGCACGTTACAGCATTGCGGCATCATTCTTCTGACATGCGCGCATGGTCGGGCTTCATGTTTCGGCGATATACCAGATAGAGTATCCTGCGCACCTTGATAGTTTGCCGATGTTTAAGGCGATTTGCAGGGTTGCACTCTTAGATAGTGCTGAGGCACGGTGGGTTCAAGGGTTCAAAGCGAGGATACGTCAGTGGTGCACACGTTGAGCCCGATTTGGGGATCACATGGTACAGCACCTGCGCGCTACTTGGAACAGTTTTACCATCGAAATGCGTTCTTTCTTAAGTACTAGTGATGTAGGTTATTTACCGACGAGGACTCCCAAGCAGTGGAATTGTTGAAACGACGCCGCAGTTACCCCATGCCTGCCTGCCGTGAGAGCTGCCAGAATTTGCCTCTGTCGTGCTTCTATTGTGTCTAGCCTCTCTCTCTACTCTCTACTCTCTTCCTTTCTCTCTCTCTCTCTCTCTCTCTTTCTCTGTCCATCTCTTTATTACATATACATAGAGAAAGAGATATATGTGTGTCTCTCTTTCTTAGCTCTGTTCTAGGCTCTATACTCTTCTGAGCTGTACCCTCTACTCTGTGCTCTCTAATTCTGACCCTGATGGAAAGTACTCTCACTCTCTCTCTCTGTCTCTCTCTTTCTGACCCTGATGGCAAGTACTCTCACTCTCTCACTCTCTCTCTCTCTCTATGTCTATTCTGTGTACATATATATATATATATGTATGTAAATATGCCTATATGTATGTATGTATGCATGTATGTAGGTAGGTAGGTAGGTAGGTAGGTAGGTAGGTAGGTAGGTAGGTAGGTAGGCATGCATGCATGCATGCATGCATGCATGCATGCATGTATGTATGTATGTATGTATGTTTCCACCCTTAATATTATTATGATTACTTGAGCTTCCCTCTCAACCCACTGTGTTTTCCATCTCCACTCTTTCTTTAGAGGATCTTTGCACAATTCTGGTCTCTGCTCGCTGACATGTATTTTCTGCTCTCGGATCTGGTCTGTAGTGTCGGGGAGCCTGGAAACTGGAACCCGGTAACAGGGCCGCCCACCAAAATCGGATCAGGACCTGGAAGCGGGAATTCGGGAACCAGGCCGCGGCTTGGCCAGGCGGCGGTCGGGTCTCCGAGTTTGCGCTTGCAGGTCCTAGGTCGGAAACGCCGGCGTTTACGCTAGAACTCAGACCCAGGAGCCCATGAACTTGGCCGACTACCCGTACTTTTGTTTTCGCCGATTCTGTTTGGGTGTGCGGAAGGACCCTTTCAGTCGACTGCATTTCAGAGTGACCCCTCGCCAGAGTGACCTTAAGCGCGGGCCTTCTAGGGTCCCCCGATCGCCGAACGCGATGCGTTAGTGGCGTCTTGCGCGCTTGTGTTTGGCCCCCCCGCGGCCACCCCGAAAAGCCGCGCACCAAAGATCACTCTGACGCAGGGTTATACTCCTGCGTGCAGCCGATTCAGTTCAAGCACTGATTGTGGCATGGTGTCTGCACGGTGCTCCGGTCCGCCACCCGCCCTGGGCCATCTGCGCCCAGTGCTCTCTCCCCCCTTCTGGCCCCCTGGGCGCGCAGCGGCCTGCCTGCGTCCCCACAGCGGGGCGGCATGTGACCGCTCCACGCTCTCGCGCGCAAGTCGGAGGCGACGACAGTGGCGAAGTTAGCCCAGGGGCGGGCGTTGCACGTGTTCGCCCTGGGGCGCCTCTGGGTACAGGTGTTGCTCTTCCCTGGGCTACTCGCCCCCATCGTCGCCCCCGAGAAAAATTCAAAGTCGAAGTTTCTGGGCCTCCCAAACGGGGTCCGAGTTGGTGGTGTCGGAGGATCGCTCCGCATAGCCGATTCATCGGCAATGCGGCCCGATGTGGAGCCCCATGTTCTCCGCGCCGACGTTGCCGATGCATCGCCGACGCATCCGATGTATCGGCGATGCCTCGACGATGCGGCGCGATCCTTTGATCCCATCTACAAGGACCCTTTTTAGGAGGCCTCTAGATGTGCACAGCAGGTCGCCTGCGGGCGCGCGAAGAGGTTCGCGCGCCGCGGTCTGGGCCAGAGCGGTTGTCGTTTCTGTTGTTCTCCTGGGGTCCGGCGCGAGGGCGCGGAGGTAAGTGCGCGTCGCGCCTCGCGGGGGGCCGTGCGCGAAGGTGGGTGACCCAGGCACGGCGGCCTGGTCGGAGCCTAGGTCATGACCAGAAAACGTGATGCTCGCATGCGTGCGTTTCCCACTGTCGCTGCCCGTGTGCATTCGAAGCTGAAGGCGGCTGGCAGAGTTGTCCAACGTGGGAACAGGGGCAACTACACTGCGGAGACACATCAAACGGAGGGCACCGTGGCACTCGGCACACAGCGTATCCGTAGCGTAGCAGCGCACTGGAATAGATTCCGAGATGTGGATGCCGTGGAGGTCTCGAGCGGGAGACCAGACGATGTGTCGCCCCCACCCCCCGCCGCCTGTCAGAAGTGCATGCCAGTCGACGATGCCGAAACGGGCTTCATCTCGGAGAGCGAGGCCTTGGACGTGTGCCGCAGGTGCCCTGCACCGCTCATTCTCGTAGCATTCGCTGGCAGTGTAAGCATCGAGACGGAGGCGGCAGAAGGCGGTCGGAGACAAGGAAAAGGAGGTCGAAAAAGAGGGAGGGAGGAGGATATGGAAGAGACAAGAGCAGAGGAAGGAGGAGGCGGTTGAGGAGGAGGAGGACGAGGAGGAGGAGGAGAGGCAGAAGGAGGGGGAGGCAGAGGAGTGAGGCGGAGTATCGAGGAGGTGAGGGCAGGAGGAGCAGGAGTAGGGTGAACGCAGCAGCTGTACTCAGGCGATCGCAAAAATGGATCAAGGGGGCGTGGATTCGCGACGGGTCCCATTTCCATTGGAAATCGCTGATTTCCGCCGCCGAACGAGGCGGCACCGGCCGCATTGTGGGGGGGAGGGCACCTCCCCCGATCCATGACTTGGCGGCTGCGCGCCAAGTCCATGGATCGCTAACCCGTGTCTGCGCGCCCCCGGTGTACAGTTTGTGCCTGATCAGCTTCAAAAGGAGGAGGAGGAGGAGGAGGAGGAGGAGGAGGAGGAGGCGAGGAGCGAGGAGCGAGGAGCGAGGAGCGAGGAGGAGGAGGAGAGAGGAGGAGGAGGAGGAGCGAGGAGCGTTGAGCGAGGAGCGAGGAGGAGGAGGAGGAGGAGGAGGAGGAGGAGGAGGAGGACCGGGAGGATGAGGAGGAGCGAGGAGCGAGGAGCGAGGAGGAGGAGGAGGAGCAGCGAGGACCCCCCCCGGCCGTGGGGAGTTCTCGGGGCGTGGGGCGGCTTCCCCCCCCCCGCCCCCCGCCGGCCGACCGACCAGCACGCCGAGGGCGCACGTCGAGAGGCGTCGGCCACGCGCAGAGGGGGGTAGGGGGAGGGGGGAAGGCTTCGTAGAAGCACCCCTGCTTCTTAGAAGGCGCGGTCCTTATGTATAGATGTAAGGCCGCCGCCTTCTAAGAAGCAGCCTCCTTCTAAGAAGCCTTCCCCCCTCCCCCTACCCCCTTCTGCGCGCCGCCAAAGGCACGCGCCCGCGCCCGCTCCGAGCGAGGACCCCCCCCCGCCCCCCGCCGGCCGACCGACCGGCACGCCGAGGGCGCACGTCGAGAGGGCACGCGCCCGCGCCCGCTCGCGCGCCGCGCCCTGCGGGTGGCTAAAGGGGGGCGCGTGGGTCGTCGCGGCCTTCGCTCCCCCCTCGGACTCTGCCCCCCTCCTCCCCTCCCCTTCCTCCCCTCCCCCTCCTTCCCGCTCCTGCCCCCTCCTGCCCCTCCCCCTGCTTCCCCTCATGCCCCCCTCCTCCCCCTCCTCCCCCTCCTCCCCCTCCTCCCCTCCTCCTCCCCCTCCTTCCCTCCTCCCCTCCCCTCCTCCTTCCCTCTCCTCCTTCCCCCTCCTCCCCTCCCCCCCCTCCCCTCCTCCCCTTCCCTCCCCCTCCTTCCCCTCATGCCCCTGGGGGGGCCTAAGAACGAAGGTCCCGAGGAGGTGGGCTGGGGGGTGGGGGCGTCAGACACGGCTGGGGTCGGGCAGGGTTCCGGGTGAGGAATTGCAGGGTGGCGGGGCCTGAGAACGAAGATCCCGAGGGAATGGTCTGAGGGGCGGGGGCGTCAGACACGGCGGATGTCGGGGTGGGTTCCGGGTGAGAAATTGCAGGATGGAGGGGCCTGGTCCCGAGGGGGTGGTTTGGGGGGTGGGGGTGTCAGACACGGCGGGGGTCGGTGTGGGTTCCAGGTGAGAAATTGCAGGGTGGACATTGGCCTAATTGTGTGGTGATGAGTTTCAAGAACAGAGGTTCCGTGGGATGGGGATGCCGGGGCGAGGAGGGGGGTATCGGTCGGTTTTGGGAGTGACATTGTGTGGTGGGGGTTCCCAAGGACGGAGGTTCCGTGGGGTGGGGATGCCGGGGCGAGGATGGGGGCATCGGTCGGTTTTGTGGGAGAAATTGTGGTGGGGGGCCCCGAGAACAGAGGTTCCGTGGGGTGTGGATGCCGGGGCCAGGAGGAGGGTATCGGTCGGTTTGGGGGGAGGAATTGTGCGGTGGGAGGTCCCAAGAACAGAGGTTCCGTGGTGTGGGGATGCAGGGGCCAGGAGGGCGATATCGGTCGGGCTTGTGCGAACAATCGTAGGGTTGGCGCAAGGTTAGTGGCTCTAGCCCGCACTGTTCCTCACACGCCCCTGGGGTCGGCGGATTAATAGCGTCCACGACGGCCTCAGAGAACCCCAAGACAAGATGGCCGCAGAACATTTAAAACAAAACGGCCTCCAAGACCGCCCAAGAGGCCCCCAGGATCGCCCCAAGACGTCCCACAGAGCCCTCCAAGACGGCCTCCCAAGGCTCCTGTGGATCCCAGAGCGCTCCGAGACAGTCCAAGAGGCCCACAAGACACCACTCCGCACCCCTCCCCTCTCCTCCCTGATCTTTCTCATTCCTCCCCATCCCTCCCCGCTCCAGGCAAGTTTGCGCGAGGCTGTTGCGTTTCTGGCCGCGATCTTGCCAGTGCATACCTACATGTACGACCACCCGTCGGGTGATAAGGAGGTTGTGTGTGCGGTGGTGGGGGGAGGAAGGGGGGACCAACTGGAGCTACAACATAGCATTGTATCGCAAAACAGAGCATCGCATAGCATCGCATAGTGGCGCACAGCACAACATACAACAGCATAGCGCAGCATCGCATAGCAGAGCATCGCATACACTTTCATTGCATGGCATAACACAGTATGGCATAGCATGGCATCGCATCACGCTGCATAACATCGCATCGCACCGCAGCACATCATACGACCGATCGATCATCGCAGTGATAACACAGCGCAGCATTGCACAGCATCGTACAGCATCACACAGCACAGCACGGCATCGCACAGCACCAGACACGACGGGACACCGCGGGACACCCCCCGGCCACCGCCGGACAACCGGGGGGGGACACCGCGGGACACCGCGGGACACTCCCGGGCTACCGCTGGCCAACCAGGGGGCGCGGCAAAGTTTGGCCCGGTCTTGCTGTGAGCACGGCCAGTTGACTCCTCTCGCCCTCTAGGCTTCCTAGATGGGGTCGGAGTAGATGGGGTCGGAGGATCGCGCCGCATCGCCAATGCATCGGCGATGCATCGGCGATGCGGCTCGATACGGAGCCCGATGTTCTCCACGCCTACGTCGCCAATGCATCGCCAACGTCGCCAGTGCATCGCCGATGCATCGCCGATACATCGGCGATGCATTGGCGATGCGGTGCGATCCTTCGACCCCATCTACTCGGACCCCATCTAGGAGGCCTCTACGCCCGCCGACGCAGCTTCGCCTCGCCCACATGCACGACACGAGCACGAAACCAAAAACGATGTCTTGGCGCCGGGTTTCTGGTTCGCCTCGATCTCTTTCCCAACCTCGGATCCCATCTGCTTGCCGTGGGGACAGTCGGTTGTTCGCTCCGCCTGGCCCGTCCTTCCCCCCCTCCTAAGCCCCAAGACGGCCCAAGAGGACCCCAAAAACGACCCCGGAGGTTCCGGAGTCCGACCAAGAGGGCCCCAAGAGGGCCCCAAGAAATTCTTCCAGAGCCATTTTGGTTCAAGTTTTGGCTTAAGGGGTGGCCGCAGTGAGAGCTTGGTCCGACCGACCTGCCGTCTCCCGCGTCGCGTCGTTGGGCGTGCGTCGGCGTTGTAGTAATGGTCAACGTGGACGTTCTTTCTCTGTTCGCGGCCTCTGTGAAGGCAGTGCTCAAGATCGGCGTAGTAACAGGCGCCGGAGTTCTCATGGCGAGATGGGGCATCATCACGAATGAAGGCAAGAAGTGCCTCGGAGAACTGACGATGACTCTTCTGATCCCGTGCCTTATGTTCACTCAGGTTGCGGATTGCGACGTGCAGCACATTCCTTGCGCAAACATAAAGTCGGTAATCTTGGGCTCCTGGGTTCTATTCCTGTGGCCACTTGTTGTCGTCTCGAGTGGGTACGGGCTGGGCTATCTGGTATCCAAAATGCTGAGGGTGCCGCAGACTTTTGCCAGGGCTGCTGCTGGGTCTGTCGCTTTCGGCAACTCCACGGGCATGCCGCTCGTGCTTCTCCAGGCGCTCACCCCATCCTTGATCGCTAATGGTATTCTGGAGGAGAGTCCCCTGCTGTATCTTCCTGTGTACCTGGTCTTGTCGCCAGTCCTGCAGTGGACGATCGGACCTGCAATATTCCAAGCGCCCAAGCTTGAAGATGGGGCGGCCCCCCTTGCTCGAGATGGAGATGGAGAGAGTGAGACCGCATCCGATGAGTCGGACGACGAGGGTGAGAGCGCAGAGCGTGACCCGGTGCAGGGAGACCAGGCCGACACGGGCAGCTCGGTGCAATCTGTGCCACAATTCGCCCCCCAGGCCGAGATTGACGACGGGGTCACGTTGGAGTCAATCAAGTCCGGACGCCTGATGCCCAGGAAGAGAGACGGGGTATGGACAAACGTGAGCAAGGTCTTGTCCCTTTTCGTGTCGCCGCCAGTTCTGGCGACTATCCTCGGCATCTTCTTCGCAGTGGTCAGGCCAATGGAGCCGCTCGATGCGTTTTTGTTCCCCAGTGCAGAGCCCGGTTCGAAGCGGGTGTTTGATTGGGTATACCAAGGCTTGCGCAGTATATCCAATGCGGCCGTGCCAGTGCAATATCTGCTGCTTGGAGCGAATCTGTCTAAAGGCGCAGATTTCGGAGCCTTGCCCTTACCAACTAGTGTCGCTCTCGCTACGACGAAGATGATACTACAGCCAGCAGTAGTGATGTGTCTTGTTTGGCTAGTCTCCCGCGTCGTCGGGGACAACGGAAGTGCTGGGAAGTGGTTAGTTGCCATTATGGTCTCGCTTACGCCAACCGCGAATAACATAATGGTTCAGGCGGAAGCTGGTGGTCAAGACAAGGCTGCTCTGAACACGCTGATTTTTACCCAGTACATGCTGTCTCCCGTTCTGCTGACAGTGTCCCTGACTGCAACAGCTTTCATGATGCAAGTTAATGGGTTCCTGCCGAGCCACCCATGAAGCTACGGCCAGAGGTGAGGCAAGTCGTCCATGCTGAGACCATGGCCATGCCTCGGAGGAAGTTTAGAAGGGCATACCAGCAAGGCCTAAACGCAGCCGGGCCTTCGGCGCGTCTCATCACCTTGGCGCTGTTTTCTGTGCCGGCGCCGTTTGCGGCGCCGTGCCAGCGTGGCTAGACCCTCTGCGATCTGGCTGCTTTCATGTTTAAAGTGCAGGGTGTAGGTCGTGTTCAGATTTTGGGTCCGTGGGGTGTCGGCCAGGCCAGTCGCACTGTGATAATGCCTGTGCCCGAGCGTCAGCTGTCCCCTCTGGTAGATTTTCGGCCTCTAGGGGTCCTCGCCACCATTTTTTGGGGGTGCCCCATCAGTTTTGCAGCGCCGACATCGCCCTCGCCCGTCGCCAAAGTTAATTCGAAAAAGGGCCCCAAGAAACTCCAAGGGATTTCAAGGGAGGGCCAAGAGAGTCTGCTGGGCCGTCTTTGCGCGGGCTTGGGGCGTCTTGCGGCCGTTTTGAGGCGGTCTCTGCTCAGGGCGCCGTGGAGCAAAGTGCAGAGGGCGCGATTTTGTCAGGATGCGCGCGGCAGGGGGCGTCGCTCCCAGAGAACAGCAGAAACATACCCCGAAAACCAACAAGCACTCTCACACGGCCCCAGCGTGCCTGCGACAGGGTGGCGGAGTTTCATTGTTTGCGTTCGATTGTTCAGCAAGGGAAATGTTCGGCGCCAAGGCGTGTCAAGGTGCAGTGCTGGCTTGCAGATTCGCCCACGCCCGCCTGCGGTCAACCCAGTGAATTAGATGCATTTTTTCATGTTCAAGAGCTGGTCGCCCCACCTTGCGGGCACATCCTTGGGCAATCGACCAGATAAGTGCGCGCAAGGCGGGTGTGTCTCTGGCGCGAGTCCCGGCGCCACAAGATGCCCCAGTGGAGCTCCCAAAAGGCCCCACCAAATGACCCCAGAGAGCCATAAACGCAAAAACCATTCAGGTTTCTCCATATTCAGTAAATCTCGCTCTCTCGCATCTACCCGTTGAGGCGCCATCGATTGGCGCAAGTTAGCCGTACCGATTTCGAGGTTTTAGTGGCATGGACGCGGAAATCTGCAGTCCAATTCCTTGTGCGAGAGTGCCTCAGGTTGAGCTGCTCGCGCATTGCCAGTACATGTGTTGTTCAAGTTTCTGGGTAGACTGCCGCCTCCTTGTCCAGAGTGAGGTTCGCTAAACAGCTGCTGTATGTCTCTCGTCCTCTTGCTGTTTTGGGTCTCTGCGTCGTCACACGAACGGGTGGGCCTGGCCACCTCTTTGCATTGCTCGGGATTCGGTTCTGACCGCCTTCTCTTTGCCTGCATGGTGGAGTCCTCTTCCCATCAGTTGGGAAGCTTGCAATTTTCATCATCAGGTGTTTGCGCTGGAAAAAAAATCTCGCGCTCTTCTCCTTCGGATGGCGTCGGGAGAGCTTCACATGGCCCCGAGGCTCGAGACCGCCCCACAACTTCGAAGAAGAGCCCAAGAGGGCCCCAAGCGGGCCCCAAGGCCTTCGAGGCAGCCCGAACAGGAAGATCCCCAAGAGACCCCTACACTCCAAGAAAGCCCACTTCATATTCAATATCTCCCCACGCCGGCCCTGAACAGCTCGAATGCCCCGCGTAATCACAAGAAAGATGAGGCCGTCGATAGAACGAGAAACGAATAGCGGAGACAACCGAAAGAGACTGGACGGTTAACAAGGAATGACGTGTGAGGAATATTAGAGGACGAAGGTGCAAGGCAAGTAATGAGCCAGTCCGAAAAGCACTCACAGCTAACAACGCCATGGCATGCGTTAGAACCCAAGCTCGCGCGAAGCGCGCGCGCGGTTCTAGTATACACACATATATATATATACGTATAGAGATATATACACCTTCTTCAATATCTTACAACAGAGAACTGGCACAGTCGAGCGGCCCACCCCAAAAGAATCTGGTGTGCCCCAGAGGCCCCAAGGGATCCCTGAGGCTCTCTTTGGTCCCCCACTCGGGCCGCCACTTGGGCCTCCCATACCTCGCAGAGTCCCTGTTTGTGCCTCCCGCACCTCGCGGAGCGGCCCAAGATTGATCACCGTAACCTTGACACAGTCCCAAATGCCACCAAGAGAGGCCCCAGAGGGCTTCAGAGGCCACCGAGCACGCCCCCGAGAGACCCGAATGTTTCAAAAACGCATGGGGGATCGATAATGTTCACCCTCTCGCGTTCCCGCCACAGATGATCCTCCAAGGGTTCAAAATGGCCCTCAAGAAGCCTTCCGACAGGGTCCCGAGGGGCCCGCAAGACTCCCCCAGAGGCCCCACGTTGCCCCGAAAAGCCCCCAGAAGCCCCAAAGAAGCCCCAAAGGAGCCCCAAGACGCTCCCGAGAGCCCCCCAAAGGTTCCCTTACGGCCCCCCAAGAACCCGCCAGAGGCTCCCCACAGGGCCCCGAAAGGCTTGCAAGAGGGCCCAAATGCATGGAACAACCCTCCCCACAGCCCCCCGTCACCTTCCCAACCCCCCACACCTCACACCTCCGACCGGCACCCAAGCCCTCTATGGTCCCCCCGGAGACCGCCCAAGAGGCGCTCACGAGGCCCCCAACACGCTCCAACAGGCACCGACGAAGCCCCAAAAGCCTAGAGATCCCTAGCAAGCCTCAAAGAAACCGCCACGAAACTCCGAAGACGTTACATCGCCTCCCCTTCTTAGAGATCCCCGCCACATTCCCGACCTTCTACACGCCACGCCGTTCGACCCACATTTCAATTCATCCCAACGACCATCTCGACGGCATCTTTCCCATTATTGCCATCCACCCCTGAAATTCTCCGTCATCAGAAACCTCCCATCACCTTCCCAATCCCCTGTGCAAACACCCCCGACAGGCTTTCAAGGCCTCTGCCTTCCCCCCGAGTCCGCCCACGATGTTCCCACAAGGCAGACCCGTCACCTTCCCAACCCCTGCATCTCACACCTCCGACAGACTTCCAGGTCCTCTCATCCCCACGGACGCCAACCATCACGATCATCATGATGGCCATCATCACACCCATCCTCACCACCACCGTCATCATCATCATCATCAACAGTATCATCATCATCATCATCATCATCATCATCATCATCATCATCATCATCATCATCATCATCATAGTCCCACGTCCATCCACATTGCAATCGTCACCATTTTCATCATCCGATCCTGCAGGCTCACGCTTAATTCGATGAAACCTGCCCCATGCCACCGAAGCGCACCGATTCGCACGCCGCGCACTCGCGCAATATGTCAATACCTTAAAACGAAGCGCAGCGAGCTTCAAGTCTTGTGTATATACATATACAACACTGCATTGCCGCTCCACGCTATGCACCGTGGTCATTAAAGTTTGGCATGCAGGCGTAAGCCGCGGCGCAAGGACAGCAATAACTCTTCGTTGCTTTGTCCGGCATCGTCTTTGTATCAATGCAATTCGTTTTTTGTCGTACATGTTTTTGCTCCTCTTCATTCTCGCCCTTCCTTGCCGAGGCTCCTCCCTGGAGGGCCGCCTTCATTCTTCTTTGTCTTCCCTATCCTCCTCGTCTCTTTTGCGGAGGCTCCTCCCTGCAGAGCTTCTTGGGGGCCTCACTCACGTGTTACAGGGCGTCCTTGGGCTTTCTGGAGGCCTCCTGGGCGCCTTCTTGGGGCCTCTGGGGGCTTCTTCGGGCCACCGTGCTTCCAACTGCGGTCTCCCTGAACGACAGGGTCACGATTTAGAACGCTTCTGGGGGCGTCTTTGGGCCATCTTGGGCCGTCATGGGGCTCTCTTCGGGCCATCTTGGGGCCCTGTTGGGCCATTTGGGGGGTCTCTTCTGCCTGGAAGCCCTTTCGGATAGTTTTGGTGTGATGTGCATTCTTCTTGGGCGGTCTCGGACGCCTGAAAGACCGAAGATCAGAGCATTCCCCAAGCCATGCAACATTTGATGGAAAACGGTTTTCTCCTGCATGTCGGAAGCCTCTTGGGGGTGTTCTTTGGGTCGACTTCTCGGTTCTAGTCAGGACCCCAGGTAAGGGGACCTGGTTAGTAGTAGGGCCCTGGAGCCCCTCAATTTGTCAGAACCACAAAACCAGGTCTGCCGCAGCTGGTGTTTTTTCGGATGACGGCAGTTCCAGTAAGTTCGGGGGTGGCCTGACACGTCGGTTAAGGAATTGGCCTTGTTCGGTTCCCGAGAGGGCGTCGCGGCCGTCATTTTTGCGAGTCCAGGTCCGTCGATTTCGGTCCCAGGCCGTTTCCACTAACGGGAGGTCTACGAAAGGGAGGTTTCTCCACCGCCGAGGTAAGTGGAGAAGAGACGGGGTGGGCGCCCCCAGTGCACAGCACTAAACCAGGTCCCACTAAACCTAGTTCTGCCAGCGCCCGATCTTCGGGCGACTGGTTGGTGCTTGGGGCCCTCTTGGGGCCCTCGGGGGGCCGCTCGGCCGCCTTCCTGACCGATCTGGGCCCCTGCCTGGGCCCAGCAGGGGCTCGAAGCCCCGGGGCCCTTCTGCAGAGGCGTCCGGGGGCCCCGGGTGCCAGAGATCCGGGACGGCCCGTGTAGGGTCGGGGAGACGAAAGGCTCGAGTAACTGAACCGGATCTCGGGTTGCCGACGCTTTTTTGACGAGCGCGTCTTGGATTTTGGTGGTCGAGTTTTCGTGGGATCCCGAGTCCCCCTTACCCGAGTCTGACGTCTCCCCGATAGGGGGGGGTCGCAGGGCCTCAGATTGTATGAATACAGAGAAGGGGATGGAGATGTGTTCGTGCCCTGGGGGGGCGTCGCATGTGTCCATATCCACCGCCTGCCGAAGTCCCGAATATCGTCGCCCACATGGTGGATCAATCCCCGCCGGGCATGTTGAAGCCATCTTGGGCTGCCTGTGGAGACTTTCTGTGCGCAAACCGAAGCATTGCCCATCTGCGGCGGACAGCGCCACACAAGCCTCACTCACGAGAGCGACGGGCGGTGGACGGCACGAGCCATCCCAGCAGCTGGAGCTAGTTCACATGTGCTCTCTGGTCGTCTTGACTAGTCGGCTGCGCGACGCCCATCATGTGCCCATGAAACGTGATAAGCGTACGTACAGCACATTCAGATGTGCACATTTGTGTCAGGCAGCCTGCCTATCCTTGCACAGCGCACGACATGGCACGATGTTGCGACATCCGTTGCTCATCACATGGGGCCGCGATGACGCCTCAACCAAGGCGCACTGATGCGTAAGCGGTTCTTGGCGGTCGGGGCACCAGTGATGCGGGTTGGTGCCAATTGATTAGTTGGCGTTCTGTGCACAGGTGTTTCCCGGTGCGCACGAGGGAAGCCCTGGAGAGCTGTGTTCCAGAGAAGGTTCGGGTGAGCCACGTGGCGGACTCCGCTTCTCTGCATTTCTTTCATTGGAGTGGCAGTTTTCATGTTGCACCTGGTTTGAAGAAGCTGTGCCGCCACGGTCAACGGAGTGTTGCTTGTTGTTCCCGATTGTTATGTCTTCGTTGTTTGCTCTAGTGTGGCTACTGCTATTGCTTCCTCGGGTCCGTTGCACCTGATCGCATGCTTGCGCTCGTGCATGTCGCCAGTGTGCAGTTCGGTCGATGCCCGCTCGCTGGCAAGCTTCTGATGGCGAGTCAGCGAATGTCAGTCAGGTCTGACGTGTGTACTACTTGTATGTCTAACTGGCGTCGTTATTGCGTTGGCAGCCCAGTTTTGAGTTCGGCGCTTGCAACGTATTGCTTGTTATGTTATAATTGACTGCAAGGGTCTTCAACCGAGACCCCATGTGTCCGAAAACTCAGGTGCCTACGCAGTAATGTGTTAGTCACGTAGTTAAGTTCTGTGCTTTTCATGAGTGTTTCAATCGGGTTAGGCATTTCATTCACCCGTGCGTGCCATCTGTTCTCCATGTCCAACGCGCCAAGGACCTCGGCACCAACAGCTGCCAAGGGGGCATACTGAAGTTGTCAGCTACGCTATCGTCTGGTATTCAGGCCGCGTTGGCATCGTTGTTGTTGCCGCGCGCTTTTTTACGATACCCATGGGAATGTTTGTGAGCTCACATCATGTAATTGGAGTGCTATCTAGTTGGCTCCCTTAGTGTTTTTTGTCTTGGATCCGTGTTGTACTTTAGCTGGATGCCGAAGTCCGTAACTGTTTTGTTGGGTGCCGAGGTATCTGCGGGGCTCGTCGGGGACGTCTTGGAGCCTTTTGGAGGTTATTTGCGATATTTGAGCCGCTATTCTACCGAGGTTGATAGACCTCCCACCTTGACACGTCGATTAGCGAACTGGCCGTGTTCGGTTCGCGAGAGGGCGCCGCGGCCGTCATTTGTGCGTGTCCAGGTCTGTCGGTTTCGGTCCTAGATTGTTTTCACGAAAGGGAGGTTTACGAAAGGGAGCTTTGTCCACCGCCGAGAGAAGGCATTCTCTCAAACACCCCGATGTGCCGAAAGCTAGGCGGCGGGCTCACTGATCAAGAACAGGCTCACGCATGCAGCGCTTACTGTTGTTTACGAATGGCGTTCTCGGAAGCATCTGCAAATCATGGCCTTGGTTTGTGAATGTTTGAACTCATTGGGCCAATCGTGTGCAATATGTTGAGTTCCGCACACTGAAATGTTTGAACTCATTGGGCCAATCGTGTGCAACATGTTTGGTTTCGCACACTGTTATGCTGTATTTGAACGTCGTTTGCATCCGCAATTGCACTAGCGTGTTCAATGCTAGTTGAATGTGTGATGATGGTGGGGTTGCGACGTTGTACTTGGTGTCTCTCTCTTTAGTCCTGTTATTACATGTACTCTTTCAATCTGGATGCGTTAACCTTTCAGCGAACAGTCCTCAATGCAGGTGCAGAGCATAGTCAAACTGGTCTTTGAGCCTGACGACGAGGACGCGGCCAAGGCAGGGAGTCTGTGAATCCACTACGGGTGTAGTCGCACCGTCGCCGTGTATAGCGTCACGTTTAGGGGCACCACGCTGAGACCGTAAGGTCCGAGAATCGTTGGCCTCCTGAATGTCAGCCAGTTCGTCACTCGATGTCTCTCAGCTGCTCGAGCTTACACCTCTCCCAGGCAATCCCTCTCTAGGTATCTCTCACTCTCCTCACGTCTGCGTCTTGCAAGGAGTACCTCTCCATCCGTGGCGCCAGTGCGACGGTGTGAAGATAAATCGCGCTTCGCATGTCGCAGCCTGGGCATGAGAGTTGCCCTTCTGCAAGGTGGCCTCGCGAGGGCGCGACGATGACCGCGCATTGCGGGGCGCTGTGCGAGCGGTCAGTTGGCCCAAGTGCGCTTCGCTGAGCCCGCCGCTCTCGTGGCCCGTCTGATCGCAGGCGTCTGTGCCGCCCTTCGGGAGGGCCTCGCCAGCAGGGCATGGCTCGACCTAAACGGTGTTTTAGAGATCTCGTGGACCGTTCTCGAGTCGATCTCGTTGTGCGGCAAAGACGGAACGAAAACAACACGAGGAGAAAACGAACACAACACGCACACGGAAAGCACGGCTTATGTCGAGCCTTGTTGCAGGTCGCCAGGGAGGTACAGCGGCTTGGTATGCCTGTTATTGGGAGGGTATCGGTGTTCACACCAGCCTAGAACATATCTTTATCCATATGATCGGCATCACCGGATCTCGATGCCGATGTTAAGGATTCCGTGAATTTCTGAGGGCGCGTTCTCATGATGGTCATTGCATGTGGGCTTGCCAACCTTAGGGGTATGGAGGAGACCGAGGATGGTGATTTTTCGAGGGGCAGGATTCCATGTCGTTTCCCAGAGACTCCCTGTGGAGCCGTTTTTGTGGTTCGGCGCCGGCGAAGGCGCGGCGCATCCGAGGTCTAAGTTGGATCGCGGCAAGACGAAGCAGCACACGAGGAGGGCGGGAGAAGGCCGAGGGCGGCCGCGGAGGAGGCAGGGAACCGAAACATTTTTCGTCAGCGGCGAGGCGGCGAACTCCGCTTCAGCGAGAAGCTTGAGAGGGACACTGACTACTCCAGATTTCGTAATAAAGGGAGGGGGGTCTCATTTCGGGGGGGGTCTCTTCCAGGCTATCTTGGAGGGCCTGGGGGGTCTGGGGACGATGTTTTGGAGGGTTCTCCCACGGGGGAGGTCTGAAATGGCTTGTCTTGGAGGGTCCAGACCCCCTCCCTTTTATTACGAAATCTGGAGTAGCGAATTGGCCAGCGAGCAAAGAGGGAAGGGGGGACGGCCGAGAGGAAGAAGGGACGCTCAGACGCCGAAGAGTTCGATGAAGAGCAGCCGGGGGGGGGCAGCAGCAGCCAGGCGCGCAGGGCCAGAGGGAGCCCAAACATGCTCCCGTCGTGAGCAAAACCAGGACGGGAGTTTTTGTCAGAGTTTTCGGCCTTTGAGGGCCCGCACCGGGCCCCGGGGCTGTCAACCAAATTATCCAGGATGCAGAATTGGTCCTGAGGGAAGGCGCCGAGACTTCAAGGGCGCCTTCGAGGGCGCGAAGTTATTCGCGCTTTGCGGATCGGCTCCGATTCCCCCTCTTCCTCTTCTCCACTGGGAGGCGGCGCGAGAGCGCGAAGTTCTTCGCACCTCGCGCTCCGCGCAGCGCGACGCGCGAAGCTGGGAGCCCTTGAGACCTCTTGGGGCCGCGCACTGGAGAAGCCAGGACGTCGCACGTCTGGGAAGGTTCTGGAGGGGAAAAAGCACACAGACACAATGAATCGTCGATCCCCAGGAAGATATGCGAACATATGGGAAGTGGGGGGAAGACAAAACCCAGAAACTACAGGCAGATATGGGGAATACTTATGTTTATTTGTGTGCATTTATTTGTGCGTTCTGGGGCCCCTTTACAGGTGGGCCTCGCGCTCCGGCCGTCGGCCGGGGAGCGCGGCGCGGCGCCCTTCGGGCTGGGGGCGCAGGAGGCGCGAGAGGTCCTGCGGGTCGGACGCGCGTTGCGGGGGCCGCAGCGGGGCGATCAGCTGTGGGGCGGTGGTTCATGGGTAGATTTAAGTACTGTTGGACTATGTTTTGATTTTGTTGGGGGTATCTTTAATTTTTCGTCGAAAATCCCTCTGTAGGGGGACAGGCCCGACTTAAGGATAGATCCCCCGCCCAGATCCCGTCTCGGAGGAGGACAAGGTACCCATACCTCTACCCTTCGCTTGTTTTCCCCCTTCTCGGGCCTCCTGGGAGGCCCTCGTCGCCGCCGCTGGATTCGCCTCGAAATTCCAGTCAGAACGCACCCCGGGAGAGGTCCAGGGAGTAGCGGTATCGGTACCTTTTGGTCTCCCCACCGTCGGCATGGTTGCGATCGGGGTCCACATCGAGCAGCATCGCCGATGCACCAGCGGTGCGGCGGAATCCTGCATCCCCATCCCATCGGGCGCTCCAAGCTTTTCGATGTGCGGATCCCTGGAGGTAGGGAGCGTCTCCCTAAAGGACTGGTTTGTTCGTCCCGAGCCGTTTCTTGACGGTCCCGAGGTCCGCCGAGGGAATGGGAGAGCCGAACACGGTCAAAAGCCGGCCGTTCCAATTTGTCGGAGCCCCTCGGGCTTCAATGCAAGGGAGGCTGCGGCCCAGCGGCCAGGCTTTGTGCCACGGCGCCCGTGCTCGAAATCGGGGGGCGGTCGGGGGCAACGTTAGGGTTAAGTCGGGCACGTCTCTCTACAGGAGGAATATTCGAAAATCCTTACAACATAGTCTGTGGACGATGTATCAACTGGTTCACTTATTTGGAATAGTTTTGACTATTTTGAAATTTTCGCTCAAACCGCCTGTAGGAGGACATGCCCGATCGAACGTTAGGGTGGGATGCGCCAAGGTGGGGACGCATCGACCCCCAACCGCCCACTCATCGCCGATGGCGGCCCGATGGCCCCAGCCCGCCCCGAAGCGTGCGGCTGCGCCATCGCAGACCCACCTCGGAGCAACAGGATGGGTGGTGCGTCGCCGATTCCAGGTCGATGCTCCGCGCGTGAGCTGGTTCCCCTCGAACTCACCACCCACCAAACCACCCCAACCCAACCCGAAGGCTCAGATTTACCCTCGATTTCCAGTGGGGGGGGGGGGTCGGGGAACATCGAAAAAACACATGTGGAACCCTTACCCCCCCCAACCTGAAATTCGGGTCTTCGGGTTGGGTTGGGGTGGTCTGGTAGGTAGTCACGAACGCTGCCGCTTCCCTCCGGGGGAGGGGGGGCGGGCGCCAGGCGCGCGCCTGGGGCGCCTACCTCGCCGAGGCGGCCTTCTACCGCGAGGACGCCTGGCCGGGGAGGGGCGCAGCAGCGGGGCGCAGGGGGAGCGCCGGCGGGGGGGTCGGAGGTGGCCCGGCAAGGGCCCTGGCCAGCAGGACAAAATCCTCCTCCTCCTCCTCCTCCTCCTCCTCCTCCTCCTCCTCCTCCCCCTCCCCCTCCCCCCTCCCCTCCTCCTCCTCCTCCTCCTCCTCCTCCTCCTCCTCCTCCCCCTCCCTCCCCTCCCCCTCCCCCTCCTCCTCCTCCTCCTCCTCCTCCTCCTCCTCCTCCTCCCTCCTCCTCCTCCTCCTCCCTTCCCGCAGAGAGCAGGAAGGGGGGGTAAAACGACGCGAAGAGCGGGGCAAAAAATCGGATCGGGAAACTTCGGAATCTCTGAGAATCGGCGGGTTTGGAGGATGTGTTGGGCGCCGTGGCCGCTCCAGAGCGTGCCGGAACGCTCTGGGAGCGCTCCGGGACGCTTTGAGAGCGCTCCGGAACGGTCTGAGGTGGCCCGGCAAGGGTCCTGGCCAGCAGGAAGGGGGGCGGGACCTAAGTAGCCAAATTAACGTAAGTAGCGCGCAGTGTTGCCCTTGTTGCGATCCCTCTGTTATCACGTGCTATCTTTTTCCCCAACCGAAGCAGGATAAACTAGGATAGTACAGGGTAACGCAAGGATTTCAAAACAAGGATAACAACATGACAACAAAAGAAAAGCAGAAGGAGAACATTGGAAAAGCAGACACCTAAAGGATAAGACGGGAAGGGCCGCGGCGGAGGAGCGTTGCCAGATGAGGTGGGCACCGGTCGGCGGGGTTCGGCCGTGCCCCCTTGGGGGGGCAGGAGCCTATCTTTTCTTGATTCGGGCAAGGTTGCTCGCACGGACGGGGAGGGGGGCTTGAGCCTGAAGCAGGCCGAAAACAACTCGACGCGTGGAAATCACGCAGGTCGAAAGGCATGTGCACGCTCGTGTTCGGTTGAAGAGGGGCGAGAGGGGGGGGGGGGGGGCGAACGCCATGGAAGTAAGCTTGCCTGGGTCTAAAGAAAAACACTGCTCGGGGTTCTGGGCTCGGTCTGTTATTGTTGCTACTGTGTTTGTCTGTTTCCGCCTCCGGTGGCCGTTTTCGGGCCCGGGGGCCGCGAACCACTGCACCAGCCGGGAGAGGTCCGGGGACCGATTTTTAACGGATTCCCAGAGGCGACGATAGGGGCGAATAGCCCAGGGGAGAGCAACACGTGTATTCAGGTGCGCCGATGATCTATGTCTTCGAAGAGGCCCCCGGGCGAACACGTGTAATGCCCGCCCCTGGGCTATTCGCCCCTCGCGTCGCCGCCGAGATTCGGCCGCACCCCCCTCGACTCCTTGCTGATGTTCTAGGGTGCCAGCAGGTTCTGGCCCCTGGCCGCCTCCACTGCGCAGGCCCCCCTGGGGTGCTCCTCGCTCGGAGGCGGCGGCGGAGGCGAATCCACGAGGTCAGGGCAAGCAACGGAGAGGACAGTTTTGGCTTCGAGCTTCGTGGCTTTCGGACGTTCTCGTTGCGTCTGGGCGATCCTCCAGCCTCGGGATGCGTTCCAGCGGCGTCCAGGGGTGCTCGGATTGTCCCGAACGGTCGCCTGAGGCCCGAGTTATAACCATCTTCGTCAGGAGAGGAAAAAACACACAGGCACAATTAATCGTCGATTCCTGAGAAAATATTGGAAAATATGGGAAATGGGGGGGAAGCCAGAAACCCAGAAAATATGTGCAAATATAGAGAACTTTTTATTTGTGTGTATTTATTTATGTTTGTGTGTGTGTGTCCTGGGGCCCCTTTAGAGTTATAACCAGGTTCGGGAGTTCCCATTTTTTCCAATGTGTGTTTTCGCCGAGTCTCGGGTCTCTCGGGGCCATGGCGGATCGATCCGGCTCGAACAGTGCAGCACACGAGACAGGGTCCGGGGCTCTGGCCGTGTTGTTGTTGGCGCTGTGGCATGCTTTCCGCCGTGCCGGATCTTGGGGCCCTGACCCAATGCATGGGGCGGACATTTCGCGCATCCGCCTGGCAGGTTCGCCGAGCAGCAGCAGAGGAAGGAAGGGCACCGACCACGGTTCGTTGTCCGCTGCTTTCGCCGGGTTAATGCCCCCGGGAGGCCCCCCTCGCCACGGCCGGATTCGCCCCGAAATTTCGGTTCGAACGCACCTTGGGGGAGGTCCAGAGGGTAGTGGTATCGGTAAGGGTATCGCTTGCGTCCCCAAGAAGACTGATGGCCACCGCCCTGTCCATCGGCAGCGGCAGGGATCCAGTGGTCGCACTTCTCCCTGGGTCGGGTGTTGTCCTGTTCGTCTGACGCCATCTCTCGCGTTCCAAGATTTTCTAAGCCACACCCTGCTAATCCAAAAAACGAGTTAAAGTGATCACGTTGCCCCTCTGTGACGGAGGGGCTGCGTTTGGAGGCCCTCTGTGACAAAGGTGCTCGTCATCCCGTTCCTCCTCATCCTGCTTTTTGATTTCGGATATGCCATGCTAGTACTGCGTTCATCATCTTTGCGTCTGTGATCCTCGTCGTGTTTTTCCATGCGTCATTTTCGCCATATCCACCACATTCTCCTCCGTTGCCGTTCTGCCCTGCCATCTACCTCGTCACTCTCCTTCGTCTGCATGTCCTCATTCTCTTCCGCCCCTTTCTCCCCCCCCTCTGGTTCAACTTCCCGCTCTTCGTCCACTTCGTTCTTCCTTTTCCAACCCCCCTTCCTTTCAACTTCCCTGCCGTCCAATCACATCGCGTCGCCCCTCGCCGCCATGCTCAAACCATCCGGCGCCCGCGGGATCGCCCGCGAGAAACGGTGCAGTCGGGCCGCTCGCGGCCGAACGCGCGCCTGCGCGATCGTCTTGCAATGGGCGATGCAGGCGGATAGACATGGGGCGCTGCGGAAGGATGGTGGGCCAGCCGCAGCAGCGGCTGGCGTGGCTGGGAGGACGGCCATGATTTGTCAGTGTGGGGCTGGAGAGAGTGGCGACAAGACGGGAACACGCCAACGGAGGACGCCAAATGGCGCGATGGCCCTGCCGCCGTAGCAGCGGCGGCGGTCGCGCCTCAACGGCCGTTTCGCTTCGCCGCGCTTGGCGTCGTGAGCCCCCGCGCCCCTGGCTTCGGCATGCCAGAATTCGATAATTTCGCGGGGGCTGCCCTCCGAAACTCACCAGAACCTGGGGGCGCAGTTCCAGGAGAGGGTCGGGATCCCGAGCCGCGCCTGCGGCGCAGGAGCCCCGCGCCACCGCAGCGGCGGCGGCGCGCGGGCCACACGATTTGGACAAGTTTGATGTCGATTATTTTTTGAGTTATGAAGAGAGGCTCGGCACTTCGTTTAAGCAGCGCAACCGAGCGTTGAAATGGTGGCGCAACGCGAAAGAAGACCCAACTGCGCCGTTCGAGTCAGAAGCCAAGTGGTTCGACAATGCGGAACCCACCATGGTCGCTGTTTGCGACCACGGTGCGAGAACGAGCCTTGGTTTCAGAAGCGACGAGAATGTCCTTTGGCGGTGGCAAGAGATGGTGGCGACGCTCAGGGAGGAAGATATCAGGGAGGTCGTGGGGGGGGGGCCCGCAGCAGCGGGCTTCTGATCGGCGGCCCCCTGGAAGTCCTGCCGAACAGCTACGACCACATGCGCCAAAGAACCCGCGCGCGCGACAGTTCGCGAGGCAGCGGGTGAAAGTGAAGCTGCCGATGTGGGATTTCGCGTTGCGCTGCGACGACGGGACAGGCGTCCGCTTGCACCCGCAGTGGGACGACAGGAAGGTCGAAGCTCTGCCCCTCATGCCCCGCGCGGACACGGTGAGGCCACCGGCCGCGGGCTTGGGCGGGGGCGACGGGCGAGGAACACGTCGCCGGCAGAAGGGCTTCGGTATGGAGCGCAAGGTCAAGTTCGACGCCGCCAGAGAGGGGGGGGGGGGCCGTCGCCTTCTCAGGGGCCCCGCAGCAGCGGGGCCGCGGCGCCCAGCACAGCACAGGGGCCTCAGCGCCCAGGCCCCGCAGCAGCGGGGCCTCGGCGTCCAGTGCCGGGCCCTCGGCCCAAGTTGCATTCGGCAGCGACCCGCGCCCCGGTGGCTGGTGGAGCAGCCGCAGCGGGTGGAGCGGCGGCCAGGGGCACTGGTAGGCCACGACCACGACCGCCTGGAGGTGGGCCGAACACCCCCCCGATACCAATCCCTGGGGCGAACTTAGCTGAACCATCGCACAGGGGCCGCCCCTCCGCAGCAGCGGAGGGAGGCCTCATCAGTCGAAGGTCGCCCTCTCCGCAGCAGCGGAGGCATTGCCAGTGCATCGTGAGCGGCGGCGGGTCGCGCGCGCCGTCGTGTTCGGCGACCGCTGCCCGAGCGGAGAAGGAAAAAGAGACGGTGCTTTCATCGGCGCTGTCGTTGCCTCTTCTCCTTCATCGTTTTCTTCTCCCTCCCCCTCCAATCCCCCATCCCGCTATCACATTTTATCGTCTCCAGAGCGTCCAGAACGAGCTCCTCCGTGACAGAGGGGGGCCATCTGAGGGCTCCTCTTTGACAGAGGGGGGGCCAAACAACAAATGATCACTTTAATGCGGTTTTTGGATTGCACGTCGTCCAGCGCTTGCATATCCGCATGCTGTGTTCATGTGTGCACGCGCGCATGTGCGCGTTGACTTTTTCGGCGGCGCGCCGAAGGGGTAAGCGAGAAGGGGGCGGGATTTTCCAGAAGGCGGCGGGTCCTGTCAGAAGCCCGCTTGCCTTCTGAGAAGCCCGTGAGGGCCTGGATGAGGCGCAAAACGTTTCCCAGAAATGCGGCGGCCCGCCCCCTTTGCTCGGCGGCAAGCGAGTGTGCGAAGTGAGAAGGGGAGTTTTTTTTTTTTTTTTTTTTTTTTTTTTTTTTTTTTTTATATTATTATATATATATATATATATATATATATATATATATATATATATATATAAATATATAAACAGTATGTTAATCTTATTGTTGTTATTATTATGTTTTCGGAAGGCGGCGGAACATCTCAGAAGGCCCCCGGCCTTCTGAGGGG